ATCTGGCAAACGCCAAGTTTGTGAGTAGATGATGTGGAAAACTCTGATATTTTTATAATCGACTTATTCTTCTTTTTTTTCAGGTGCTTTTTCTCGACGAAAATTTCTTGGCGATAATTCTGTTGTTCTCAGGAGTGAATTTCAAAAAAATCTTTTCACAATTCATTTTTAGATATTTCAAAGTAACTTTATCAAAAATTCAACGTTTTAGCAAAACTTCGTATTTAAAGGCATATTTTCTCGGACTATCTTTGATTTATATATTAGTCTTTGATATCTATTATAGTCTTTTGATTTTTAAAAAAATCCTCATGAGGGGTTTGAAATTAAGATACAAAGATTTAACCTTTTACAACAAACGGTACATAAATATATTTTTTGATCTCCCTGTATGATATCCAAGTACTGCAGAAAGAGGTTAGGTTACAGGATTTTTTCTGCAAATGTCCAAGTTCCGCTTTGGACACCACAAAAAATCTAGAGTTATCGAATTAAAAAACATATTCGATATATGTAATGTCGATACACTTGACCCATCCCCCTTTAAACGGTTGCCAGCTTCCCTTATCTGGTCGCAAGGAAGTTTAAAATATTTCGATCGGATTAAACGGCTAAGTCGGCTCCTTATTCTTACTTTCCTTCTTCAATTTGCTAAATAAATGTGCGGATTACGATGTTTGATGCGACTCTCGATTATTTCGCAAAGTTTTTTAAAGCCATTTCACAGCCGAACGTGATTTTTCGTCGGAGAAATGGCGGGCTCTAAACAAACATTTCGAAGAAAAATCCTGAATAGATTTAGATCTTTGACTAACGAAGGAGTATACTAATACAATAATCATATAATTAATTAATACATTAGAGATGGAATTTACATCATGACACTCTATTTTTGACAGTTTTGTTAGACGTTTTACTTGATGTTTTTGAAGTTGATTCATTACTACTTCTTTGGTTTTTTTGTTTATTTTATAATTTTGATTTTAAGTAAAAATGTAGAAATATGGAAAAAAATTATGTCACGAAACTTAAAAATGCGGTCACTTGTTATATGTGTATGGGGGGGTGAAGTTTTTTTTACTTGAATACTTACAAAACAACAAAACATCCAGTATATAGAAGCCTCCCGAACACAAATCAATAAAAAATGTTTTTTTTTTTTATTAATTTTATTTACAGAAACTTGAAGATAATAAATGTTTTCACAGCTTCACGGGCATAAAACTAAATAACTCGAAGCAGGAAAAAGGCAACCGGAACCAACACAAAACCTGGAATCAAAAATATGTAAAAACATAAATATAAAGTACATAAGACTTTTTGTGATTAAATCAAACAGGAATTGAATGAAAATAAAAATGAATAAAAAATATGACACATAATACATTTAATAAAAAAAAAAAAAATTAAAAAATAATCCTACATAATAGTTTTATAGCATTATTGCTATGACCTCTATGTACCTATGTGATATGTAATTACGCCTTTCTGTTATTTTGTAGAAAATTAATGTAGGCTAATATAGTTCAATAATCATAATTTACCTTGTATAACTACTTTCAATTGCTCAAAATCACCGATCAGTCTTTAAAGTAGATACGGAAAAATCCTTGGCAAAGAATATCCCAAGATCCTTGGGTTTAAAGCTAAAAGAAGATTAAAAACAGTTATATATTACCTATTTTTACATATAATTATTTTTATAATATTAATTTTTACCTGAAGGTGGTACTTCGATTTCATCATTTTCTTTTCATGTAATTTAATATCATATATACTTTATTAAAGTGGTTTAACAAGGAACTTTAAATCAAAAAACAATCTTTGTAACTTATAAATTTCAGCGAAATATCAGAAAGCAAATTTCCAATCAAATCTAAACGGCAAAAAATTAAAATGGCGCCCCACCTTGCCAGAGGCCTCGGGAGCTGACGCCTGACAGACACAGACAAAAAGACAAAAAGAACAGGACGCCGACGTGCATAAAAATGTTCCGTAGCAGAGATTGACAGAAATCATATAGAATATTTCAGATTTTTTGTCTAGGACAGTCTAGAAGGCCATGCTTTCTGCCTGGGTAGAACCGCGCCACAACTTTTTCCAATTTTCCGGTTACTGTCACCCCCCTGGGTGAAACTATCCCTAAAATATAAAATATTTTTTATTTAAAAACCGGTTGAGTTTTTCGAAAAAACTCTTAAACAACGTATACTTTATTTTGTTTGTTTTAACATATTTTAAGATTTTTTTATAAATTTATACAGGGTGTTTCATAAAATCTGGTCTAAAGCTGATTTTTGGCAAACGGGATGACTGTGGGTTTTAGAGGTTCCATAAGGAGGGGTTCCTCGAATCTCAAATTCCAAAAACGCCCCTCAAATAAAACAATATATAAAATTTAAAAATAATTTGTTTAAAAGACGGTTAGTCTTTCGGGAAAACGCTTGTTTAAGCAAATTTATTATGTTTTTTTTTACATATTGTGAAATTTTTTGAAAAAAAGTTTGGGTAATTTCTAACCGCACGATTCTGCTTAAACTGCTTGAGTAAAAGCTTATTTTTGGTAAACGGATTTTTCGAAAGTCAAATTCCAACGAAATGAAAATACCCCTCAAATATATATACCAAGTTATATAATAATATCGCATATTTGTTTTTTTCTCATGCCTGACTAAATGTGAGACAATTTTTTATCCATTATGTATGTTAATGGAAATTCTTGCTTTTATCATCACCAATTACAAATGAAATTAATTCGGACGCGAACGAAGTCGCTGGGTAAGCTAGTACCATATAAACGCGTTTGAGTTTTAGGACTGGTTTTAAGGACTCTTATTTTTCTCTTAAAACGGTAATAGAAATTTGGAAAAGTATAAACGGGAATTAACCATCTAGAAAAGCAAAAAATTTTATGAAGAATTAATTTTTCTCAAAATGCCAATAATAAAAAAGTTTATTTTTTCCTCTTTAAATTACGCGACTTAATTAAGAATTTTAATTTTAATATTAATAATACAGGGTGGGTTTTTGCACACAAATTTTTAATACAATTTTTTTTTTATTTGTCATACCATGCTGGCATCTCTTTTATTTTTCGGTCGTATTCTGTACATGTGAGAAGTTAAATCGCATAGGGTTCTCTCTTCATCTTATTAAGTCGGAGTAAGAGAAATGCGACCGACTGTGCGAATTGCGGCGTTGCCCAATTTCTCCGGTACGCCTTTCATATCAAGTAAGTAAAATCACGATAGCAAAACCGTTTATTTTTTAAGACTTTTTTTTCAAAAAAGATAACTAAGATAAAAAGAAATCTAAGTTTTTTTTAGCTTAATATTTTGGTAATTTTTTATGATTTTAATTATAGTAATATTCTAATTCAGAAAATTCAGAACTTGTGAAAATTTTTTTATACTCATTATTATTATATGTAGATTTAGGGAAGCTGTAGGGATGAAAGTGGTTAAAGCACTAAAAAGGAACGATTTTGGAGTGACGCATGCCGCTATCGATATGATCTGCGCTCTGATGCATCCCATGCATGACGATTATGACCTGAGACAGAACAGTTTGATAAAATATCCCTTGTTACAGACAAATCGTTTTTGAAGCCTGTTGAACTGTGGACAAACTCACATTGTAAGTTAATCATTATATTGTGTAAAATTTATACATTTGCCCACAATTTTCAACGAATTTATTATGTTTCAGGCTCAAGGTACTGGCGCTCTAGTAGTATCAGCAATGCTAGATTTTCTCACTTTTGCGTTATGCGTACCATATAGCGAGACCACCGACGGAAAACACTTTGACTTGTTGCTGGAAATGGTTGCCGAAAGAGGGCGAATGCTTTTTAGACTCTTTCAAGTAAGATTGTTTTAATTAATATAAAAATTCAAATGTAGGAAATTTGATTGACGTATTCAAGTTGTTTTCGGTCACTTCTGTTTCAACCGGAAATGACTACAACTTTTGAATTTTTTAAATGGCACCTCGGTAATTTTTTTTTTTACCTATTTGATAGAAATAACACTCTGAATAGATTGAGTAGAATGACATATCATCATGTCAACTTTTGACATTTTCTCGCAATATGGTTTATTTGAAAATTAATTTTTTTTTTTTTTTTTTTATAATTTTACTTTAAATACCAAGTATGTGGTATAAATTTATTCATAAAAAAAATTCTTTTTCTAAATAATCGCTAATGACCACACCTCGTTCCATTTGAAAAAAAATGAGATATGATTTAAAATAACGATTTGGAGCATTTTCCTAACTGGCAAGACAAGACACTAAAAAACATTACAACGATCAAATCTATTTTTCTAAGGCTCGGCTTGATTAAGAATTAAGTGTTTTTAACATAACCATGGCACTTCTAGATTAAATTTTTAAATACGATTTTGTTTTAAGCGAAAATGTCCAAAAATTGACATATTATTCGTCATTCGTATTCAGAATGTCCATTTTCTGTCGAATAAAGTTAAAAAAATATTTTTTTTTTTTTTTTTTTAAAAATCAAAAGTTTGTAGTCATTTCCGGTGAAACAGGAAGTGACCAAAAACATTGAAATACGTCAATCAATCCTAATTTACGTAATAAACTTAATTTTTTAAAAAAAAATCAGTTTTTTTTTATCTGAAAAAATAAAAAAAGTTATAGGGGTGAGCACTTTTGAAGACGCACCCGGTATACTAAAAAGTCAATAATTAACAATATTACTTAAAAAATCGTAAAAATACAAGTACAAATCATTAAAAAAAAAAAAAAATCGTAAAAATCGGGTCACTAGAACACAATAAATAAATAAATTTAAAAACTTTTTTTTTTTTTTTTTTTTTTTTTTTTTTAGGGTTCCGTAAAGCGTAAAAACGGGAACCCTATTATAAGACTTCGCTGTCCGTTCATCCGTCCGTCTGTCACAAAGGTCTATCTTATGAACTGTAATAGCTAGACAGTTGATCATTTTTTAAAGATAATGTATCTATTTTGCCGCTCTAAGAACAAATACTAAAAACAGAATTAAATAAAATGTTTATAAAATAAAAGTACTTTCACTAAACTTTATCTTTTAAGTAAGAATTTACATAGAATCTTTCAAGTGCTCGGTGGCCGCGTGGTTAAAGCTTTTAGGACTTTACGCTGCTATGACGTTTGGAGCCGTAGTAAGGCAGGTTCGGATCCTAGTGAAGGCGATTTTTTTTAAACGTTTTTTTTTAAATTTTGACGATATTTTTTACAATATTTATTTGTTACTTTTTTACATATTGTATTAATTGATTAATACAATTTTTAGTAATGTGTTTATCTTCATTTTTCTTTCAATTACTTAATACGCGCATAAAAATTTCAGCTAAAATCGGAAAAAAAGTTTTATATATAAATATAGTGGTCTAAATGGTTTGTTAGATAATTGATGTACGGAACCTTTACCTTTCCTGCGCGAGTCCGACCTCGCACTTTCGACCAATTTCTTCATACTACGAAATCTAAAACCTGATTTTTTACTTTTAGCATCCATCTATGGCCATTATTAAAGGTGCCGGTTTAGTAATGAGAGCGTTAATAGAAGAAGGCGAATCGGAAGTAGCTGTAAAGATGCAAAACCTGTCTCTGGCCGAAGGAGCCTTACCGCGCCATCTGTTAGCGGCTCTGTACACTCAAGGCTCCGACGGCAGGTTGTTGACGCACCGACAACTGTCCAGACATCTGATTGGTCTGTGGGTGACCGGGAATCCCATAGCAATGGGACTTCTTAAGAGAATCATGGTAAGATAACTTATTTTAATCACAGTTAATTTTGTTGATTTTTTTCTATATGTATATGTTTTTGTTTTTCTTTACTATAGCTTTATCATTGCCCACTAAGTAATTTATTTCCTCCAACCAACTATAACTTATATTAACTTGATATTTCCTTGCATTTGTTTATGAAGGGTTATTTATTTAGGTTTATAAGAACTTTAATACTACAGTAATCGCAAAACAATTTCCGATGCATGTGATCATCTTTGAGTGACAAGCGATGGCGACAGTGCTGCCAGATTGTGATGAATTTATGAGATGAATCTTAATGTAAAATTGGGAAACAATATATTTATTATATAATTTTTAAGGATTTTTACGATTTTTTTTTAATTTTATTACTTTTTAGTTTTATTGTTCATATTTTAGTAATTAATTGATTTAATTGTTTTTAGTTATTTATTGATGTACAGCTGGTTCCAATAAAATTGAGTACGATTTAAAACATATTTTTATTATTTCGGGCGGTATATTCTATGATACCTGTCCCCCATTTCTCTACTCATGTCATGCTGACGTTCTGAAAAATTTATTTGCCTCTTTGTCAAAAGCAAAGTTGTTTTATACAATGTCACAATAACCTTAACATGTCAAAATACTTGACACATAAATATACACTGCTCAGATATTCGAAAAGGATGTGTAAAGAGTCGTATTCGTTTTTTTTTGGAACCAGCTGTACCATTACGATCAAAAAAAGTAGTACAAGAATTAGTAGTCCCAGATATAACTCCTGGTCTATAAGGATATTTGAATTATATTGAATTTTGGATTTAGCCAACACTGTTTTTTTGTTTATCCCTAATGCATCTGCAATGTCCCTTGAGGGAACTCCATCCCTTAATCGCGTAAATATAATCGATTTTTGCTCTGAAGTTAAATGCATTTTTTTTTAAATTACGTGACACTGACACAAGAATATAGACCAGCAGATTAAATCAATTTTGTTGTACTAGTTTTTTTTTATCGCAATGAACACCACAAGTGGTAATAAAGTTTTAGAACACCACAAGTGGTAATAACAAGTAAGAGGGTACTCTTAATGCACAAACTAATAATCACAGAATTTAATAAAAACTAACGTAGAAATAACTTTGAAAGTGGTATAACGTGCTTACCAATCATACTTCCTTCTCTGACTGCAGTAAAGGGTAATAAAGGACCTTTATTGTCACGTTCTCGTTCAAAATAGTTTATCAGGGAAGCTACAAGCTCTTTGCTTTGACTGTTTAAATGCTTCGGCATATTTTCAACATACAACTTCAAGAAATACAATACAAAAACTTGAAAATTTAGTTCTTAAAAGAACTGTTTGTGCTTAAAGGTACAATTTAAAAAAAATACTATGAAAATAGGCAAAAAACGTGAATTACTTAAAGATTCAAAAACAACACGATATTATACAAAATAATGACTAAAATTATGATAATTGTCAAATAATAAACAACATTGCCGAACACGGCGCAATGTGACCAACATAGCGATAATAAAATTCGGTTTAAACTAATTCTTGCAGCTTTAAACTAAATAAAATATCTGTTACAATCATTTGCTCTATAAAGTAAAATGAAGATAGCTGCTCGGTATCGTAAATTATACAACAAATTTAAACATTTTTGCCAATATTTCATTTAGTCAGGTTTATAGGCTTTAGTGTCAATTTCGATATGATTGATGACGTGCATCGGAAAATGTTTTGTGATTACCGTATATTGGTTATTTCTGTATGTATACAGGGTCAGCAAGTCTAGCTTTGGGTGCCGATTTTTATACAATTGTACATTTTTTTGCAGCCCATCGGTCTCATAAGCTTCCTCGACTCACAAGACAAAATCCCCGATTCCGCCAAAGAGCAAGAGCTCCTAAACCACCGAGACAACTTAAAAATGGCCCAAGACCACGCGTCCAAAACGAAACGCAACCCGAACCTGGTTGCCGTCGAGAGACAGATCAAGAACCTAGAAAAACAGGTCGAACACTACACCAACCTGGCCCTGCAACACTGGGGCTCCCGGGTTGGGATGGTCAGCCTGAAACGCGAGGAGAAAATAAAAGAACGGCCGATAGTTTTAAGAAAGAGACGGAAAGAGTCAAGGCCGAGAGCAACTGGGCGCTGTTCTACTGGAACTTTAGCCAGAACCACGCGCTCTCGAACTTGATCTGGAACCACAAGACGAGGGAGGAGCTGAGAAGTGCCTTAGAGAACGAGATCCGGACGTTCTCGAACGACAGGGAGTTGGCGGGGAACGCGCTGGTGGCGTGGAACCATCAGGAGTTCGAGCTGAGCTACCAGTGTTTGGCTGATGAAGTTAAAATAGGGGATTATTATTTGAGGTTGTTGTTGAGATGGATGAGAGCAATGACGATTCGCCAATTAGAAAATCGTGAGTATAGATACAACAATACTTATACGAGAAAGTGCCTTACTGCAGTATAATAAAGGCGACTACATAGTCCAAGAAAATAGGCCTCAGTGTGTCTCCCACAAAAGTTGCACATCAATGTTGTGTTTTTTATAATACCCTATATATTAATTGATTTTCGGATTCTAGCAGAAAAATAATGATGAATTTCATTAGACAAGTATACTAAGGGCTGGCAAAGGTTAGTCTTGGGTCGAGATTTCCGTATGTAAGAAGAGTACAATGCGTTTTATAATGTACTGAAGAAAGAGAACAGTAAACACGTTGTCAAATGTACGAAATGAACCGAGAAACTGCGCACATTGCTAAGAGACGTGGAAGGGGATATAGCAGATTTGTCGCAGTCCACCGGTCGACCCAATCAGTACCTCTGTCAGTACTTAAAGTTCTAGGGAAAGGTGTACATCAGCTTCACGATTTAATTACGTCTCGCGATACTTTATTTGTATATTTATTAACGAGTCGTAATTTTTCCTATAGTTTGAAAATGTTTAAGTGCAAGTTAGAAACACTTGCATTTTTGGTAAAAATAAGTGGAATTGAGTTGGTGTTCGACAGTGGTCGCGCTATTAGAACTCTGAATTCAAAAATCGATATCTCGAAATCCATTAGAAATAACTGATTTTAGTTTTTTTCATAAACTTTCTTAATATTTCTGCTATATTTTCTTCGTAGACAGTATGTGAAAATTTTTATAAATAAAAAAGTTACACGATTGCTGAAAATTGCTATGCACTAAAAGTAAATCGATGGGTTGTTTAAAATTTTTGAATGGAAAAAACAACCTTATCGAATTTTTCTTATTTAAACATATTGTAAAAGATCCGATCTTCAAAATAAAAAAAAAGTGTCTATATCTAAAGTAGTTTTTAAGTTATGGCGTGTTATGTGTTAAAAAGGCGTGTTATGAGTTTTTAAATTACCGCGATTACTGAAGTTTTATCGTTTAAAAAAAAATGGACACCCTAACGATATCCTTATAATTCAATTTCAGATGCCCAGAAACATATCTAATGATTTTATCTAGTTATCTTTTCGAAAAAAAACTCGTTTAAAAACAAGCGGTTTACGATCGTGATTTTACTTTACCTGATAGGGACAGGCGTACCGGCAACGCCGCAACAGCACACCGTCGCATTTCTCTCACTCCGACTTAATGTGATCCCTATGCGATTTACTTCCACACATGTAAGTACCGACCCAAAAGTAACAGTTGCCAGCACGGTATGACTAAGACGTATGGTTTTTGACATATTTAACGAACGTTTTCTAAAAATGCAGAACAAATTTTAAATGAAAACTACCTAAATTGGAATTTACCTAGTATAGCCTAATATTTAATTAAAATAACTATTGTTCTTTAAATCAAACTAAAATTTGACCCAAAAAGTTATACAGGGCGAGACAAAGTTAATATTGAACATTGGTCACCTTTAAAAGTAAGTTACTCTTTTATTTTTAATAGAATATCCAGTATGTCATTCCGATATTCAACGGGGAATTCATGTCTCTTCAAAATACTATAAAGGTTGCCTACCCCTCAAACAAAGATTTTCATAGATATTTTCATTTTTATGATTCAGTGTCAGTAGGCATTTATTATTTGATAAAATCTAGGTGGATGTGAGTTGTCGTTAGTTTATCATAGCTGTCAAATTAGTTTACCTTTAACAACTAGTCATCTATGCTAAATCAGGAGCATTTAGATTTATCTATTATGGACTTTTTTTATAGAGATGTATTATAGACAGTGTTTAAAAAACTTGACCAATTATTGTCGACATCATTTTATGCAGTGAAGAGGAAAGGAAACCTTTTGAGCAGTTGATTTCATCTAGCTAATCTTTATTACATAATTATAATACGTGTATAACTAGTTATTCTTAATTCTGTAATAATTAAAATATGTTTTAAACGTGTCTTACCTTAAAAATCTTTTTATTACCGTTGAATATTTTAGTCTACATCTTTTAATTTTTATTAAATTAACGAATGGTATATCACAGCCACCTAGATTTTATTAATTAATAAAGTTCTACTGATGCAAAATCATAAAAATGAAAATATCTAGAAAAATCTTTGTAGAATGACAACCTTAATAGTATTTTAAAGATTTATGACAGGATAAATTACACTTTAGGTAGTTGTTATTGAAATTTAAAAAGGGGGGTATTCTTCATTTTCACAAAATGTGAAATACGGCAAAAACCTTACAATCTAGGGATACGCTTCTTTAATGGAACTCACCTTTATTTTTTTCCTAGAATCCGAAAATTAATTAATATATAGGGTGTTCCATTACAAAAAAAACAACTTTAATACGTAACTTTTTTTTGGGGACACCCTGTAGAACTCTCTATATTTTTGAAAAATGCTCTAAATTAACCTACATCTGCTCCCAAAATTTAATTTCGATCTAAATCGTATGAGAGGCGCCACCCTGTACAATTTATGATTGATCACTTTTTAGATATGAATTTTTCAATGATTTGTATCATCGTTTTTTACTTACTAACAAAGTAGAAATGAAATGTATGTGTCTACAAGCGATGTCAATAGTGTATGGAAGATATTTCGAAGATATTGGTCCGTTCAGTGATACAAAATACATGATTATAATGTTAGAAAGGGTAAGGACAGTTATTATAACCTCTTGCTTTTGATATTTTAGAACCTCTTTCCGTATATGTTTTTTAAATATTTACTTCAATTAAAATAGATGCCTTTCCTTTTAGTGTGTTGATAAAATAGAAAGAGATAGACTGATCGTGTTTATATCGAAGTTGATATTACACCGAAAAAATGTAAGGGATTTGCTAGACGTAAACGGAGTGAAGATTTTGGTGGACTTAATGACGCTTGCGCATTTACATACTGCTCGGGCAGTGATTCCCACGCAAACGAATGTGATAGAAGCCGGTCCAGATATGAAAATAGAACAGAAGAGAGAATGGCACTATAATACCGAGGATGGTGGAAAAGGGCCTGTTACTTTAGATGAGGTAAGTTTTATTTGCTTTTCTAGATTAATTATTTGACATTTGATAACTATCACGCGACGCCCAGTCTGTGAACAGATTCAGTGAATATGCCGGCGTGATATACTGAATTACGTCATTCCCAGAAATGCCTAGTCGTTTCACGTATGCCGACAAACAGCGTAACTCAAGTGGCACGTCGTTTGACTGCGGATTTCAGGCTTTCACTGTAATGACGGAATTCCAGAGTTTTACTGCACTACGGGCCATACATTTAGGCAGGGTTGGCACGATTTAAATCGAGTGATTTTTTTAATTTTAATCATCTGATTTAAATTAAAAAAAAAATATTGAAACTTTATAATAAATCAAAAATAACTGTAAAAGTTATAAAAATGGGTCCTAGAAAACTAGAAAAAATATTTCTATAACAGATAATAAATAGAAAGATAATTGTAAATGTTATAAAACTATATAAAAATATCTGTTTATCAATTTAAATGTTGGACCTATTTTTGAAGTAATTTCGTGTGAATCCATTAGACCGCTAAACGCACAGATTTATTTTAAAATTTATGTATAAGTGACAAAAATTCGCTGTTCGAATACATATCATTCCAAGTCTAAATCTATAATCGTTGTCAGAAAATGTGTTGTTTTATTTTTTTTTGAAACGGTTGTATGTTTCCAAATTCCTAGCGACATTTTGATCTGCAGTAAGTACTTTACACTTTGACATTAGATAATACATACTAATTTCATTCTCGATTTAAGACTATTTCCGAACAAACAATAGTGTATTGTTTTATTAGGAGTAAAAATTATACTTTTTTTGACGATGCGACCTTTGAAGGACCATCGTAAAGCTATTCCGACGTTACAGGGAGGCACAAAAAGTACATTTTTACTCCGAATAGAACATACTAGTTCTTTTAAAACATTACAAATAATTTTTTAATCAATTTCAAACAATGCACACAAACATTGCACAGTTACATGAACAGTAACCGAGCAAAAATTTGTACACTCGTTGAATTTGACACTTAATATCAGTTTAATAATATATTTTTGTACTTTTGCGCTTAGGCGTAACAGTGCTTTTTTTTAACAAGCGAGCGACTTTTTTTGCGGAATATATTGGTGACCGATGTGGAAAAATGACACGCGCCGTAGAACTGTTAATGTTATCGGTATCGGTCAGGGTTATAAAGATTTAGCCATTTAGGATAGGACTTTAATTGGAACTAATTCTAGTCATTGGGAATTCCGATTTAAATATTGTTTTGAATTAAAATAAAAAAAATCCGATTTTTGATTTAAAAAAAATCATTTTTTCCAACCCTGCATTTAGGTATTCCCCGTACTGTCTCTTTTCCAAGATAGGATGCCGATGATCCTTGCCTAGCTAGTTCATCGGCTTTTTCGTTGTTTTGGATGCCGCTGTGGCTCGGCAAATTAATAAATTGGCCTGAATAATTTAATTCTGTTCCTTCGTGCCGGAGTGTTGCATTCTCTTCATTTTTTGTTCTATAAAATTTTCTGTTTAGCCAGAAAATAGAATCCAAAAAATTTTCCGAGTTTCTCAAAAACGCTACCTTCAGCGCACTTAAAAAAATCGATCAGATAATGTTATAACGATCTTCTGTTCGAGTGAACATCGTAATCCGCGAAGGTAACTTGCAGTACCGTATGTATAATCGAAAAAAAAACGGCGTCCAGTTGGCTTGGAAATGACGATCGATGACAGTTCCCATATAATTTTACATTTAAAATGACAGCGATCTTCATTTCATAACCATCGCTGACGCCGTTTTTATTCGATCATACGGTACCCTATCGACCGTCATTGATTTCATGAAAGTTGCATACACATTGTGGGAATGAGTGCAATATATCTCGTAAAGAGTAAAATGTAAAAAACGTTACACATTAATTTGATATTTTTTTTCTGCTCTTTACTAAAAACTTTGCAACAGTAAAAAAATGGTTTCACCCGGAAAAATGCAAAAAACTGCGTTTGAGTGACTTTGGCGCACTCTAATTTTGTACCCGTAGGTTTTAGAGGTTTGTTACCTAGAGATGAATGTGTTACCTAGAGATGAATGTAGCATTAAAAAAGAACTACGAAAATATGAAAAAAAAACGAGAATTACTCACAAAGATTGAACAACAACACGATATTACACAAAATAATGAGTGACATTACGATAATTGTCAAATAATAAAGGATAACATTGCTGAACACGGCGCAATGTGACCAACATAGCGATAATAAAATTCTAAATAAAATATATGTTACAATCATTTGCTCTATAAAGTAAAAAGAAGAGCTGCTCGGTATCTTAAATTATACAACAAATTTAAAAAATTTTGCCAAAATTTTATTTAGTCAGTTTTATAGACTTTAATTTAATGTCGATTGATGACGTGTATCGGAAAATGTTTTGCGATTACAATAGACCTTTTTTTGATGCCAGATTGACTGTACTATTAATTAAAATCAAAATATAGTTTAATTGTATTTTTCTAGATGAAAGAACTGTTCCAAAAAGGCGTAATAACACACAAAACTCGTTGCTGGGCGATGGGTTTGGACGGTTGGCGTGCTCTATCCCAACTCCCTCAACTAAAATGGTGCTTGCTCGCTAAAGGGAACCCGGTACTAAACGAAAGCGACCTAGCGGCGAATATTTTAAACCTTCTAATCAGGATGTGCCAGTACTTCCCGAGCAGAGACGCGGACGAGGCGATCATACGACCGCTACCGAAAGTAAAGAGGGTCCTGAGCGAACAAACGACTCTATCTCACGTGGTACAGTTGCTGCTTACATTCGATCCTATCTTGGTGGAGAAGGTGGCTTTGTTGCTATGTGAGGTTATGAGAGATAATCCTGAAATGCCAAAAGTGTATCTTACCGGAGTGTTTTACTTCATTTTGATGTATACGGGGAGTAATGTTTTGCCGATCGCCAGGTTTCTGCAGCTGACGCATATGAAACAAGCATTTAAAGCCGAAGAAGTAAGTAAAATATTTATACAGGGTTCTGCAATACCTCGTCAGACAGCTGTAGCTCTTATAATAAAAAAAAACTTAGGAATTTTGTTTAACTTCTACAAGGTGACTCACAAAAGTGTGAGTGAAACGGAATGATTTTTTTTAAATGGAAATTTAATCTTAAATCATACAGTGTTTTTCTAAAAAGAATATCCTTTATATATACAGGGTGCTACAAATTCGAGGTACGAGCATTGGTATCTCGGAAACCGTAATAGATACGAAGATAGTTAAATTGGGGCAAAGTTGCTCCTTGGCATGTTCACCAAGATGCCATCAAAAAAGTTTTAAAAATTTCAAGGATTGATGAATTTTTGGAAAAAACGGATTTTTTTGAAAATCAATTTTATTTTTTCTTGTCGTTACTTTTTAGAAAATCAAAAAACTAATTGCACATTCTCGTAGCCACTTTATTAGAGCTATCTGATGGTATTTTTAGATTTTCAAATTAACTGATAATTTGTGAGATACAGAGGCCAACTTAATTTTTTTAAATATGGACCTGCATTTTTTATTTCAGGCTTTGAAAGGACTCAACCAAGAAGGGACCAAACCAAACCAAACCACACTTTATACTTTTCTTTTGTGTTGGGTACCTTAATAACAACAAAACTATTTAATTATTATTTAAAATAATTTCAAGTCCGACTCTGTTTTTTAAAATTATTTAATCTGATTATATTCAGCTCAACAATATTGATCAGCGCTATTAACATTGAATGAGGAAAATTACGCCAATTGAAAGATTCAAATAATTAATATCCAGGTCAGCAGTTTTAAGATATCTATTATTTTTAACTTTTTTTATTGTGAATTTGAAATCTTAGTGTACGATCAATATGAATAATATTAATCGTAGTTATATAAATATCAACTTCAACAAACTAGTTTCTGATGCTGAAAATGATGTTCAAAAGGGTTACCACCATCCGTAATGCACACATTTGTTTTTCGTTCCATCTTATTTATAGCTCTTTGAACAGATCTTCTTCTTATACTTACGAATGTATTTTGTACTCTTTAACTGTTTTTTATTACTCAACTATTTTATAGTTGAAATGTATTGATTTCAAATGTTCAAAACAATTTTTACTGATTTTCCTTATTTAATGTTAATTAGCGCTGATCAATATTGTTGTGACGAATATAATCAGATTAAATAAATTAAAAAACCAAAACCGGATCTGAAATTATTTTAAATAACAATTAAATAGTTTTGTTATTGTCAAGGTACCCAAAACAAAAAAAAAGTATCAAGTGTGGCATATCCTTGTATTCAGGAGACCGTATTCTTTCAAAACCTGAAATAAAAAATGCAGGTCGGTATTTAAAAAAATTAAGTTGACCTCTGTATCTCACAAATTATGAACTAATTTGTAAATCTAAAAATACCATCAGATAGCTCTAATAAAGTGGCTACGAGAATGTGCAATTAGTTTTTTGATTTTCTAAAAAGTAACGACAGGAAAAAATAAAATTGATTTTCAAAAAAATCCGTTTTTTCCAAAAAACTTGGCAATCCTTGAAATTTTTAAAACTTTTTTGATGGCATCTTGGTGAATATACTAAAGCGCAACTTTGCCCCAATTTAACCCTGTTCGTATCTATTACGGTTACCGAGATACCAATGCTCGTATCTCGAATTTGTAGCACCCTGTATATTTTTTGTTAGATGGAGAATTAAAAAATATTTTTAGGATTCCGTACCCAAAGGTTAAAACGGAAACCCTATTACTAAGACTTCGCTGTCCGTCCGTCTGTCACAGAGGTCTATCTTATGAACCGTTATAGCTAGACAGTTGAAATTTTTACAGATAATGTATCTATGTTGCCGCTATAAGAACAAATACTAAAAAACAGAATTAAATAAATGTTTATAAATAAAAAAATACTTTCACTAAAAATGCGCGTGGCCAAGGCGTTAATTAAGGCGTTAGGACTTTACGCTGCTATGACGTTGGAGCCGTAGTATAGTCTGTGAAACGAATAACTTTGAATTTGACAGTTACCGCGGGCTTTTCTAGTGTTAATTTTATTAGGTTAGCAACTTGCGGCCATGCTGACGCAATGCCCTCTCTAATAGAACAGCCTCGGAGCGAGATTTACGACGTCACGCTAGTTAGATACTACGGATTAATAAATATGTTGTAGAATACATGGAAAACATAATTATTCCTCGTATTTTTGGTTTGTATTTTAAAAATGATATAGTTTACATGAAATACATAAAATACAGTTAATAAATACAATATATATGCCTATTTATAGTAATAAATACTTTGGCAAATAAACTACGAACCATACAAATGCACCAAATGTTTTACAATATACAAATAATGAATTGTACATAAGATAATGGGTAAAATGTAAAATATATTTTAAATTTTGGGGTTTGAAAATCGATCTACTAATAGTGATGTATTATTATTTGCATTCACAAAATTTATATGTATATTTTGCAAGTATCAATGTTCGAAAAATTATATTTGCAAATAATATAATACCATAGGCAGTAGATATTGAATGTCTGTTGTTAAATTTGATCGATTCAAACTCCAAAATTTAAAATATATTTTACATATTACCCATTATCTTATGTTCCTATTCATTATTTGTATATTGTAAAACATTTGCTGCATTTGTATGGTTTATAGTTTATTTGCCAAATTATTTATTACTATAAATAGGTATATATATATTGTATTTATTAACTGTATATTATGTATATTTCATGTAAACTATATCATTTTTAAAATACAAACCAAAAATACGAGGAATAATTATGTTTTCCATGTATTCTACAACATATTTATCTATTAATCTGTAGTATTTAATTGCGCGACGTCATAAATCTCACTCCGATGCTGTTCTACTAGAGACGGCATTGGTCTGATATTTAGAAATGTCAAAAGCTGATGACATTTTACTTTTGACAATTATGACATTTCGTGTTCATTTTTGCAAGAAGAGGAAGAACTGTCACTTGTTTTATTTGCTTGTTTTATTATTTTCCTTTTCTATTTCACGAAAGTAAAAAGAGTTATCTATCTGATTCGTTCAGGCACTCAATTTAAAGAATATCAGTAACTGTTTTGATAGAGGGATTTTATATTTGCCATGTTGGTAAAAAATAACGGTCAAAATTCAAAGTTATTCATTTTATAGACTATAAGGCAGGTTCGAATTCTAGTCAAGGCGACTTTTTTTAATCGTTTTTTTTTAAATTTTTGCATATATATTTTTACTTTTTACATATTTATTATTGATTAATACAATTTTTAGTAATGTGTTTCTTCATTTTTTTTAATTACTTATACGCGCATTCAAAATTTCAGCTAAATCGGAAAAAAGTTTATAATAATATAGTGTCTAATGTTGTATAGATAATGAATGGTACGGAACCCTTCGTGCGCGAGTCCGACTCGCACTTGACCAATTTGAAATGTTTAAAAATTCTTAACGGTTTGCAGATAGTTGTGATATTATATTACATAGGGCTTTCTTTCAACAGTAAATTTTTTATTAAAGCTACCTAATGAGTTTTGAGATTTTACCGTTGAAAGCGCCATATGTAATTTTACCACGTATGTCTGCAAGACCGTTAAGAATTTTTAAATACTTTAAATACAAAAAATGTTTATTTTTTAATTCTCAATCTAACAAAAAAAATAATATGTATATAGGATGTTCCATTTAAAAAAACGAAGAAAAATTATTTTATATATTATAGATATTTGGTAATATACCTATAAAGGCCTACATCAAGTGATTTTAGCCAAAGTTGCATTGATTATTGGTGTAAATTAAAAATTGTTTCATTTGCAGATTGCATGATCACTATCTAATTTGATGCATAAGTGAGAACCATAGCTTTACTTGGAAAGAGCTCATTATTCTCAAATTCTACTCTCAAATCTTTTATTAAAATATCAGTTCTTAAATTGAATCACATTTTCATGGGGAAATAAACATTTTGGGAAAATTTGTTAGCTTAATTACTGTAACATATTAGAAATAAAAAAAAATTATAGTTCTAATAATCACAGACTTTATTAGAATGTTGCAGTTTCTTATCAGAAACTTATGGCTGTTCTATGTCAAGAAAATACAGTAATTACAACAATACAATACAATAATTTTAACAATAAACAATACCACATTATACAGGTTAGTAGCATAAGTAGTACAAAATAAATATAAAACCCTTAACCAACAGTCAATACATATTTACTTAAGTAAGACCAAAAACAAAAGAAATAAAGCCTTAAACCAATAACCTCTTTCACTTTGTTGGGAATAATTCTTGCTTATCCATTTTCCTTTTATGGCTCATTATATGGTCTTTTTATTGAACCACTGGCCTTCTCTGTTCATTTAGAACAATTGCTGATGTATCCTAAAAATAAAAAGAGACTATTTGGCATAGTGTTTTTTTTTCATTTCTATTTTACCTAACTGGCTGATTTTACTATGATTACGATAATAATTGTAAGTTTTTTTCCACATAGTCATTATATTTTCTTGGCGAATGCATAATTTATCTTGATCTTCTGTTTTTCATACCACAGTTTATAACTTTCCTTAGTATCAAAGTCATAGGCAAACTTATGTGTTTCTATTTCCAATTTTACTTCATGGTGTTTACCTTCAAATGTTGTTGCAATATACGGCAACTTCCACAAACTATACAGACTACAATATTTAGAGTACACAGTGGGCAAATAATACGTTTCTTCTTATTATAGTGTTTTTCACAAAATTAAGTGAAACAACACAAATTAAAAATAATCCAGTCTGTAATATTAATTATTAAAGTTCTATGAATCGCTGGATCCCCAAAACGCATTCACAAATTGTAAATCTTCTTTAAATGATTTTAGTATTTTTTTGTATTATTTAAAAATACAGGAATGCTGTTGAGTTTTTAACTTTTAAATAGGGCCATATTTACTCTGATATCCATTAGCGGCAAAGTTCAGCTGAGTTTGACGTAGACCGCGGTTGCGCGGTTCAGCTTTCGAGTATTTTGTCCTTAGAGAAGGAAAGAGAGACTCTCTTTCCTTGTCTAGGGTATGGTGAGTTTTAGTGTCGTCTAGGTACTCGACTGGCGCTCCCCTCCACTTAGCGGAGTGGGGCGATCGACGCGGACTGTTCGTTTTCTCGCATTAAATCTACAGCGACCAAAACCGATCAAAACTCTTACAATATGGCAATTACTTCAAATAAATACTTAACTTATGTAATTTAACAATGGGAACACTAATTAACAATCGTTAATAAAATACATTAACAGTCATTATATAAAAGAAAATGAAGTCCATTTTATTCTTGTATAATATTAATTAACTCAATGTACAGGGTCTCCCAGGAGTAAGTGCAGAAATTTTTATGAACTTCATTACAGTGTACTATAGGTTTGTTATACGTTATTTTATTATAAGAGCTATTTTCCTTAAAAAAAAATTCTGTTTAGTAATTTGTTTAAATCCACATTATTAATTATATTTATTTTAGAATGTTACGTCACTTATAATGCAAAAGAGTATCCTAGGCAGGCTTCTTCCCGAGGCCATGGTTAATTACTTAGAAAATCACGGAGCCGAAAAATTTGCCCATATATTTTTAGGCGAATTTGACACTCCTGAAGCTATCTGGAGTTCACAAATGAGGCATAACTTCTCCCCTTTTAGTTTTTTACGTACATTAACATACCTTCGTTTGCAGACGTATGCTTATTGAACGAATAGCGGCTCACATCGCCGATTTCAGTCCAAGACTTCGCAGTCATACTATGGCTAGATATGTATATATTCCTATACCAACAATAAGATATCCCCAACTGGAACATGAACTTTTCTGTAACATATTTTATCTTAGACATCTATGCGATACAGTCAAGTTTCCTGATTGGCCTATACCAGATCCAGTAAGTAATCATCTTTTATTGTTAGATATTTTTTAAAGGAATTGAAATGGTTTTCAGGTTGGACTTTTAAAAGATGTTCTGGAGTCTTGGAAATCTGAAGTGGAAAAAAAACCTCCTCTGATGACTGTAGAGGAGGCTTATAACAGTTTGTTTTTGGAGGGAACCCATCATGAAGAAGCGACTATTAGAAAAGCTTATTATAGATTAGCTCAAAAATACCATCCTGATAAAAATCCTAACGGAAGGGTAAGTCAAGTGTTTATACCACATTTCTGAAGCGAAACTTCTTTACGCGCACTGGGAGTAAAAATTCAAGGATGTGACACCGTCATATTTACTTGAAACCAGTAATCAACGAGAATATTCGTATAATTTAATAAAATTACCGTAAATCACCATAAATAATGAATAGTTTGTTATTGACCTGTAAATTCTGAATTATTAATCCTGTAAATGATGGAGATATACAGTTGTGATTGATTAATATTTTATTTTAAGATGAAACTTTTGTTAACAACATTCTGACAATTCGAATAATGAATTGAATAATGACGAGACACGTGACATCTGTTTATAAAAGGCAGCGATTTAGATTGACAATTTGGTTATGTAAAATTTAGAGTGACAATTTTACAAAAGAAATACATATTCTGTGAGTTTACTGGTTGCCTATCGATTAACATCAATTTAAAAATAAATCCCCAACACGAATAATGAACAAAACATTTAAACAAAAACAGACCACAGAACACACAAAACAAATTGTTGGTTAGTAGCAGTTAGTAGTAGTCAGAGATACAGATGTAGTAGTATTTTGGTTTAATGGCCACAGCTATCCGGCCGAGTAATATAACTATGTTTTTTTAATAAAAATTAAAAAAAACATTATAAAATTATAAAGCTAGAATAGTATATGGTTTTATATTAACTCTAATTTTTTGAAATTTATAAAAAGCATTCATAAAAAATATATATCTTTTAAATCCTTCAACTTAATATCTGTTAGTAAGAAGTTTCACTTCAAACATGCGCACATAGTGCACACCATAGACTTAAAATAAAATATAGACTACACTATTTACATCTAAACGCGGCCAAGCAATCTTTTTTGTACACATGTTTACTTCTGGGTACAGTCGACCGAGCCTTCCTCATCCAGCCTATGTTGTCACGTCTTTAATATTATCAATACTTTTTTTCTTGTTATACACATATATTGAGATATTAATACTACATTTTAATAAAGTAGGTTTTAATATTCCATAGATGTACTAAATAGTCCTTATACTACTAAATTATAAGTCGGATACTATTTAAAAAGGATACGTTCTTTACAATATGGCAACACCGATTAGAGGCGAGGTCGCCTATTCATTCATTTATTACCTTGTAGTACGCGTCGCACGTGTGCGGTAAAGCTTTGTTGCCGCTATGTCCCCGGCTGTATTAACGCATTTTCTTAGCTTGTAGTCCTTAAGTGTTTATTTTATTTTTTGTTCAAGAACTATAAAATATGATTCGCCAGTGCCAAATTTGCAAGAAATTTGACTTAAATAATCCATTTAAGTCTTAAAACGACTTTCGACCGGTAGGCAACTCTCAATTTACCAATTGGGAGTCAGTGGCGTTGTTGTAGAAAGGAGCTTATTTAGATAATATTTTAGTAAAATGTAAAATCTGAATTTTTTCTCTTACATAATCATTTATATAAAGGTTTTGTAACACAATCATAATTATTGTAAGCCTGTAAATAATTAATAATGTTTTTATTAAAAATATATTCCGGTTTATTCTAAAAATTATCTTCAGTATCTAAAATAACATACAAGAATTTTAAAATGATATTACATTATGAAACAATATTTTTTAATATACCGGGTTTGTTTCAAAAGTGGCTCACCCCTATAACTTGTTTATTTTTTCAGATAGAAAAACAGATTTGTATGGTAGTAGGTATATGACATAATTTAGGATTGATTGACGAAATGATTATATCTTTTGATTTTTAAAGGCACCCTCTGTATATTTCTACTTTATTCGATAAAAAATGACACTCTGAATAGAATGACATATCATATGTCAACTTTTGACATTGTCGCTTAAAAACATATCGTATTTTAAATTTCAATCCGGGGTACCATGGTGTTTTTAAAAACACTAAGTTTTAATCAAGGAGCCTTGGAAAAATAGTTTTGATCGTCTAATGGATTTCGTGTCTTGTCTAGGCCGGTTAAAAGATGTACAAATCGTATTTTTTAATCATACCTATGTCAATTTTTTAAAATGGAACAAGGGTGACTCATTAGCATATTTGGAAAAAGCATTTTTTATGAATATATTGATACCACACACTTGGTATTTCGAGTCAAATTGTCGTTATGAACCGCGTGTTATAATTACAATTAAACCATATGCAAAAATGTCAAAAGTTGACATATGATATGTCATTCTATTCAGAGTGTCATTTTCTATCGAATAAAGTAGAAATATACCGAGAGTGCCATTTAAAAATTAATTAAAAGTTATAGTCATTTCCGGTGAAACAGGAAGTGACCAAAAACAATCGAATGCGTCAATCAATCTAATTTATGTCATATACTGACATACTAAATCTTCTTTTTTATTTGGAAAAATAAAAAAGTATGGGGATAAGCCACTTTTGGGACGCACCCGGTATAATAAAGACAGTACCGAGTTATTAATGGAACATATTTATGTTTTCTCTAATTTACATAATAAGACATCACTTAACCAGAAAAAAAATACAACAGTCAACGTTTTTTTTTCTCTCCCTGTCGCCGATTCTATTATATCTGTAGAATAGATCCTGTTTTGATTAATATTAGGGGTTGTAAATGTTTGACTAAAATTAATATTTTTTTAATAATTTCAAAAATTACGTAATTTCGATTATAAAATTTCTTAAAATTTTATTATTTTTATCCTTTTTGGACTCTAAGACGTTTTTTCTAAACTTTTATTTAAAAAAACTTCTCCTAAATCTTAATAAAATATAAAAAAATTACCCGGCTATGATACGGAGAGTTCAGGTGTACTTGAGAAACGAAAGACAGTGTTGCACTCTTCGTCAGAGTCGTCAGGGAACGACGGTTACGACAGAGACAACCTATATATCGCTCGTGTCGCACTCGTTATAACCTAAAACAATAACACAACAATAACAAGACATTGTCTGACCGCATGTTCCAGCTATTTATGAATGAGATACTCAGTCTATATTTTATTTTAAGTCTATGGTGCACACACTTTTTTTCTCTCAAAAAATATTTTTGGGTATTTCGCCACTGCACTGCAAGAAAATCTACAAAATAAAATAATTATTTTTTGTAAACACTTCTGCGGTAAACCTAAACGGACACTGGCTTGTCAGAAGTTATGTTTACAGTTATACAAATTTGCCTAACAAAGAAAAAATGCTTAACGTTTCGGAAAGTTTATCTCTTTCCGTCGTCGGAAGCAAAAAAAAATACAAAGAATATAAAAAAAACTATTTAAAATATTAAAATTCAACTATTCGAGAACACTTTACTTTTTTAAAACAGGTACGTCTACAAGAAACCGTTGACGTTCTGTTAAAATGATATTATATCCATTATTTATTATTACGTTATTTTTTTCTTTGTTAGGCAAATTTGTATAACTGTAAACATAACTTCTGACAAGCAGTGTCCGTTTAGGTTTAACGCAGAAGTGTTTACAAAAATAAATATTTTATTTTGTAGATTTTCTTGGAGTGCAGTGACGAAATACACATAAAGGATTTTTGGAGAGATGAATCCACTACATAGGTATAGACTTTTTTACACTTTTTATTTTGAAATTCAGCTGAATAAGTTTATGAATTGGAATATATTCCATACTAATATATCATTTTAACAGTCGTAATTATTTTTGAGAGTAGTGCAACGCAATCAGGGCTTAATCGAAATCTCTATACAAGGTGTTTCAAAAACAGATGCCATCTGTCGAGGGAGATTCCTCGGTCTCTCGGTCCAATTCTGCTTTGTTTCGTAGTTACAGGAGGGGGTTAAAGTCTTATTTTTTTTCGATTTATTATAATTTTCTTCCAGGTGCTTTTAGCGATTTGAATGAAATGTTGACGGTAAAAGTTACTAGAAGTGCTACATATTTAAATACTAAAAAAGTGTCGACATATTCATCAGGGACGTGCATATATGGGTTATCATTGGAATATTTTTCTAAGAAAAAACATGTGCGACACTGGCTTTTTTTTATTTTGGGCCGTTTAATGCCGATTAAAAGTTGTCTCTTGATATTTTATCGATTTCGATCATATCGCAATGCTTATTGCGAATATTTGTTGAATTAGTAATGAACTAGATTATAATTTACTGATATGAAATAAAAATTGATTTTGTCATCACTTGTTTAAGAGACACCCTTTATATTCTATATTCTAATTATTTTTTAATAATGTTTTTCAATGAATTATGAAAAGAGAATACTGATTTAATTTTTGATCTAGGAACTTTTTTGAAAAAGTGAATCAAGCTTACGAGTTCCTCTGCAGCAGAACAAGTTGGAACACGGACGGTCCAAATCCTAACAATATCGTTTTAGTATTGAAAACACAATCCATCCTGTTTCACAGGTATTCCGAAGGTAATAATTGAATCCTTTGATTTATTTTGTATTCTTATTACTTTACCGAATTTTTGTTACAGTGTTACAACCGTATAAATACGCTGGCTATCCTCAACTCATCAAGACCATAAAAATCGAAACTGCCGACGATCAGCTGTTTTCTAAGACCGAGCCTCTTCTTGCTGCCGCTACCGAATTGGCTTACCACACCGTCCAATGTTCCGCACTTAATGCCGAAGAATTAAGAAGAGAAAACGGTCTAGAGGTACATTTACTAGAATTTATCTGACGAAATACAATCTTTTTTCACTGTCGAGCATTCTTTAATTTTACTCTACGATTCAAATACGGTAATCGCAAAACTTTTTCCGATGCACGTCATCAATCATATCGAAATTGACACTAAAGCCTATACTGACTAAATGAAATTTGGCCAAAAATATATATTTAAATTTGTTGTATAATTCAAGATACCGAGCATTTCTTCATTTTACTTTAAAGAACAAATGATTGTAACAGATATTTTATTTAGATTAAAGCTGCAAAAATTAGTTTAAAGCGTTTATTTGACAATTATCATAATGTCAGTCATTATTTTGTATAATATCGTGTTGTTGAATCTTTGTGAGTAATTCTCGTTTTTTTTCATATTTTCGTAGTTCTTTTTTAAATTGCACTTTTAAGCACAGACAGTTCTTTTAAGAACTAAATTTTTGAGTTTTTGTATTGCATTTCTTGAAATTGTGAAATATGCTGAAGCATTTAAACAGTCGAAGCAAAGAGCTTGTAGCTTCCCTGATAAACTATTTTCAATGAGAACGTGACAATAAAGGTGCTTTATTACCCTTGACTTTGATTGGTAAGCACATTATACTACTTTCAAGTTATTTCTACTTATTTCGATTTGTGGCCTGTAGCTGCTGCCTTAAATTTAAATATTTCTATTATGGGTGTTAAAAAAATGGGTACTAAATTATTAATTATTAAATTAGAAATAAAACGTAAAAATCTTTAAAAAATGATATAATAAATATATTGTTTTCCAATTTTACATTAAGATTCAACTCATAAATTCATGTGGCAGCGCAGTCGCCATCGCTTGCCACTCAAAGTTGATCACGTGCATTGGAAATTGTTATGCGATTGCTTTAGTTGGAGTTATATTGATATACAGGGTGGTCCGAACTGTATTCCGGAAACTTCGGCAGCATATTCTGCAGATAAAAATAAGTAAAGCAGATAATAAGTAAAAAAGTTCTTATAAATGTATGTCCTAAATCGCTTACTTTTTGGAAATACAGAGTGTAGAAGTTTCATTTTTATTTCGATTATTTCCAAACAATTTTTGAAGTAACTAATTTCTGAAAATCGGTGTCTGGGAGTTTTTGATATGAGAAATTTGATTTTGATGTCATTGTGGCTCCTATTTGTACGGGGCGCCACCTACATGTGTTTTAACTGTTTTGAAGAGTAATAACTTTTTGTCCGTACCTGTATAAAACTACTGAGTAAAAAATATACATTTTCGTGACTTTTTACGTAAAAAATGTCTCTTGGTAAAAGTCGCTACGAGCAATCGTTCTCAAGATATTTAAAATGGAAATAGTCAATACATGCCATTATTGACAAAAAATACATATGTTGAGTAGATAATTATTTGACTGAAATGATTTTGGGAACTTTTTATTTTTTTAAATTAATCACAAATTTTTCTTCGAAAAAATTACGATAAAACAGTTTCTGTTGAACTTTTGGCACAAAAACATTTTAAATTTATGTTTTCAGTCTAATAAAACTATTTAGTCAACATGTTTAATTTATGTCAATGATGACAGGTACTGAATAATTTAGATTCCAAATATCTCGAGAACCATTACTAGTAGCGATTTTTACCAAGAGACTTACCTCAGTTGTTTATACAGGTACGGACGAAAAGTTATAACTTTTCAAACCAGTTAATAATTATATAAGTGGCGCCCTCTACAAGTAGGAGCCATATTGACATCAAAATAAAATGTCTCATGTCAAAGAACTTCCAGACACCAATTTTCATCCAAATATTGACATTACTTCAGAAATTATTTGGAAACAATCAAAATAAAAATGAAACTTAAACACCCTGTACTTCCGAAACGAAGCATTTTAGGACATTTGTGCGAATATTTTTACTTATTACCTGCAGAATATGACGCCGAAGTTTCCGGAATACAGTTGGACCACCCTATATATTATGACGTGGCTATTGAAGTGGCACTTTCAGTTGGCCGTCGGCACGTGTTCTTATTGTTAAAAACCCCCTAAAAAAATTCGACCTAGTTTTTCGTCAAAAGGAGGGATTTTTCGGGGCGCAGGAAAACATTTAATTCTTAACGACCACCCTATTAATTGTATATTTTTTATTTTGATTTCTGTTTAAACAGATTCTTCTAGAGGCCTATACGCGGTGTGTCAATGTTTTAAGCAAATCTTCGATTCCAAGTGACGTTGCCGTTCAAGTGTGTTTGCACATCACCAAATGTTTTACTGTAGCCGCTCAATTCCAGGCATGCAGAGAGCGAATAGTTAACCTACCTCAACTTATAAGGGATCTATGCCGAATTCTCCATTTTAAGGTAATTTATCAAATGAAAAAATTGTGTGTGTGCTATGTG